TGGGGTCGCGATATAAGAGCACTTTGAATAAGACCGACATCGCAGTAAGAGCACCATTTTCGCTTGGCACGGTATCATAACTTCAAGACCCATCAGACACTGTAATTCCAATCACATACTGTAGGCCTTTTCTCGGGGTATTTCAAACGCATCCGCTCACAGTCCGCCTGTTCCATTGCTCCACGGCTGTGGAGGAGGTTAGTGACGAAGCAATATATATTGGGGAAGAACGCGCCACTATATCGACATCAGTTGGTCTGAATGCATTATTGCTACCGCTAGAAACAATTGCTCATGATTGCAATATAAGAGAGGTAGGGATGTTGTTGCGGAGAGTGAGAAGCGTGTTCGCGCGCTTACGAGGGAGGGCTTCTGTGCACAGGTCCAGGCAACTACTTATTGGTGAGGCCTTACAGCGTTCTAAGGAGTAAAATGGGCATCCTGTGCGAGATTCTTGAATAGTAGCAACCTCGGATTAAGAGCAGCATGAAGGGTTGGCACGGGGTGCTCTTATATCGTGGTCCCCACTGTACTATTGTGGGAACCAGCTCAGACATGCTGGTGTCGCGCGCAGTGTAGGAGCAGTTCTGTCCTTGGTGGCGAGTACGGAAGGCACAAAAGCCCGAGTATGCTACTCTCTACCCTGTATTTGCTTTTCACCTCCGCTCTCGCTCTACCTCCTTTCCTCCGGTGCTTCCGGTGTCTCTATCGCTCCATATACATCACTATCTAGGAGAACAGCATGTCGCTCCTGCATTCAATTACCATTCTCGCTTACAATGGTCGACAATGCAATTGTCGGCTTTTCGCTACAGCTCGTAGACGTGAATTAAAACCCCATGCATGGAGATTGCTTTGCACCCTTTGGTCCTTTGCGCCCCTTGCCTCGATTAATCAATTCGTACCTCATGCATCCAAGTACTACTATCCCATTCAATCCTGCCATGCTCTGTATGCTGCAAACCTGTACACGTTGCACAAATTGACACAACTATACATACTGTAGTACAGTATGCGCTTCATGGCAAAAACAGGAGGTCAGCCTCGTTTCAGAGGGTCCAGCAGCATTGCTGGCTGTGTGTGGGTGAATTGATATGCACCGTGATGGGCAAGTTGTAACATCACGTACAGGTCACACCAATAAATTTATGTACAGAGTAAACCCTCGTTATAGTGACCCCACGATACAGTGATTCCCTCGCTATAGTGCACTTTCGGCCAGAATTGCCCGCCACATATGCCCATATGGGCCAGAATCGAAGGTTTCCCTCGATCGTAGTGTACCCATACTATACAGTGGAACCCTCGGTAGAGTGCACTTTGGAGCCCGGTGAAGCCTCAAGATTTGTATAATTTTGGTTACTTTCGGTACGGTTCGTTGTAGGCAGCACTGCGCCTCTCATACAGCCTGTCTGCTGGGCAAAAGAAGGCCGAGTCCATCGTACCTGGCCCCCTCAAGATGGGCTGATTTCGTGGGTGTAAGTAGGCTTACAGTGACTTACACTAAAAGGTACAGTGCACCCTCGTTAATGTGTACTTTGGCCCTCCTCCGCACCCGCCACAAATGGGGTCAGTACAACGAGGGTTTACTCTGTAACTGTGTGTTACTATATGATATCTCTCGCTACCTGCTGTACCCTTGGAACTGTATGCATTTCAGGCAATTCTGATTACCCTAAAAAAAAAATCTAAAAAAAAACCTGGAGGAACAGAAATACAATATGTTCCAACCCTTGCTTGTGTCACGGGTCTCCTTGCCGCCTACAAGCCAATGCAAATTTTGACTTTGGTGAAAACCCAAACAACGGACACTTTAAGCTTTAATTTTTCGTCCCGTTAACTGAAATTGATATCCATTTTACAATTAGAGTACATCCAGTATTGAAGCCGTCGATGCGACAATGACTGTGAAGGTGAAAAGCGCTCTAGACCCTCCACCAGACCGCAGTGTTACTAGACTGGCAAATCCCTGCCAAACGAAATCATCTGGTTCGCGGATACGTCACGCATCGCTCGCCGAGAACCAGTAGTCCACTTCACGATAACTCGACGAACCATTGTCACAGACCCAAGCCCGAAATGAACAGTATCAATGTATGATTGTCCTCCGGCCTGTGCACCACGTCCCCCAACACGTCGTATCATTCTCTTACCGCGCCCGAGGATGACGGTCACCAACGCATTGAGAGAGGTGCTTGCACGTGTAAATTCGTTGCCCACACGTACCATGAGGTAGTTGGTGGTCGGCCCAAGTGGCAGTTGATTCTTCAGTAAATAGTATTGACCGAGGAAAGCCTTTCGAAACCCTTGTCCCATGATGAAGTCAACACGCCCATCCAGGTCATAATCCATAGCCATAACGCTGCTTCCGCGTGACGTCGACGGCCTCGGAACAACTGGCAAGTTGACCCTCTGGAAGCCAGTTCCTTTCATGTTGAGGAGGATGAAGTCTGGTCCCTCGAATGTCGTAATGATAATATCAACGTAACCATCATTGTTAAAATCTTCTGCAGACACGCCCATGCTGTTTGTATCCGAGGGCACTCCAGGAAGAGTGTCGGAAATATCTTCATAGACGCCTCCGTTATTTTTCAGCAGAACGTCACCAAACTCAGTCAAGCTTGGGGGGCCCCGCGGAGTGACCAGGTTGGAGTTAGCACGAGCAATGTACAGGTCCATCCGCCCGTCGTTGTTAAAGTCTAGTTCTACGCAACCAGAGACTGATCGCCTCAAATCACGCAGGCCAGGAGCCACGGTGGCGGTGATATCTTGGAAGTTGAACGGGCTAGCGAGCTTAAATACCCTGAGAATGGAGTAGTGGACCAGTTCCATGACACCGTCATTGTCGATGTCGGTCACGATGGCACGTTCCTCATTCACTCGTTCAAAGTTTTCGGCAACCATGAGCGAGTAGTTCCCTCTCTGGTTTTGGTAGGCGAAGTGAACGAGATCCGGGTTGCTCCCAAGGAAATTGATGAAGAGGACATCTGGCCCGCCGAGATTCCTGCGACGGTCAAAACGGCCCTTCAGCGACATGTCCATGAACACAGCAACGCGCCCGCGAGAGGCCAGCTGTCCGAACCCATATTCCATCGTTACATCTGTGAACGTTCTGTCTGGCTTGGTGATGTACACAAAAGGCGCGCGAAGATTTGCGCCACGGCCTCCACCAACGGATAGAGTCACGAGCTTATCCCGCGACCTCGTCGTGCGAGAGGCGACAGAAACGCCATGGATGTCGCTCCTTACGGAAAATGCGGGACCGGTGAAACGCCCGTTGTTCGTTCCGTAGAAGATTCGAAGATTAGTATGGTAGGTAAGGATGAGGTCGTAGTTGCCGTCGCCGTCCAAGTCAGCGATGGTGGGACCGCCAAAGTGTTCGGACATCGGTCGCTGTACGAGGCCAACAGAATTCGTTACATCGAGGAACGGAATCGGCGATGCCGGATCTTGCGCGGCAGAGATAGAGACGAGGAGACAAAAGCCCAGGAGGGAGGTGAAGGAAGGGGACGAAATCATTTTTCTGCGATGTTTCAGATGGAGCAATCGAGATGAGGGGGGGCGGGAGAATAGATGGGCGCTATATAACAGGAAGGATATATATTAGACTTAGCTAAGTGTGATGAATTTGATAGTACAACCGCTGGTGAGATGTCTTCTGGGTTGCTAATTGCTTTGTGGCGTACAGTGTACCGTGTAGTAGCCGTAGTAAAGGGTGCACAAGTCGTGTAGGAAGGTGCCAAGACGTCGAAAGTATCTTAAGAATGGCCGGTAAACTATGAAAAAAACAATGTTCCAATAGCGCAGAAGAGTGTAATGTAAAGATGCATTTCAAACCTTCAATCACAGGGAAGAGTCGGACTGTAGAAGAACGTCTTGAGGCCTGGATAGCTGTTACCTACAACTTGTATTAGTGTGTAGTGGTCCTAAACAAGGGGATACCGTACATATGTACAACTCGCCGTATGCTGCGTGGCATGATAAGTAGGATGCGCGGTATGAAGCAAGAAGGGACGTATGCCAGGTAGGGATGATAAGTTACGATGAACTCTAAGCTACAATGCCTCATACGTGGGCTGGAAAGTGCCATGCACATGTAACGTGCGCGATGCCAATCAAGACATCCTGAAAGCGATCGACACTCAAGACACATCCCCCATATTGACGTCACAAGGGCACGTCCTCCGCTTCTCAACTGTATGAACTTGCCTAATCTGTATTACCCGCCCAAATTCCAATCCTACAGTACACAGCCACGTGGGGAAGGATTACATCTGTTCACCGAGGCTCGAGTAATTGTTCTCAAGGGAATTTGTTTCGATCCCGCGCGCTACTGCACTCTCGCTCCTGACACTCCAGCCGTTTATCCATCTTGACAATCATGTACTGTACAGTAGTCGCAGAAAATGCACGTTTCTTCAGCATACTGCCGAACTCTTGTTACACGTCATTGTCCTCCTACGAGGACATCGCAATGACGGCACCGCTTGGTATGGGTCGCCTCTAGAGAGGCGGAAACCTGGTTAGTGGGAAGAGATACCCTTGAAGGGTAATACTGTGTAGACTTCAACAAAAATGGTGACATAGCATCAAGGGAGTGAGGACTTGCTGTCGTGTGGACCACGAGTGAATAGCGATCTGAATGAAATTGGGCACGCAGAAGTGCTCTTTATTCTTTACAGCGTGAGAATTTGGGAGGTTTGGTTGGCTGCCCCCATGATCTTAGTGAAGTATGCGCCCAGGACGTTGGAACGGGTGTGGAAATGATGCCCTCGGAGAGAACTGCGACAGCCGCATACACACAATTACGTTTGTGAACGTCTGTATACAGTAAATTACCCTTGGTACGACCCTTGCGTCGTAACCAAACAGGATTGAGGAGAAAACAAGTGGCAGACCAGTAGACTGTTGACAGTCTACTGGTCTGCCATCAAACTACAATTGTCAACCTACAATACAGTCTTCGACCGTGCTGGGGATGTCGCACACTGTCAAATGTAGGGAACAAACATAAGCTGGAAGTGTACCTCTTGGAACCACACCTAGCGGAAGCAGTTTCGCTTTGTCATCTATTCTTTGCCCTCAAACAACAGTCCATACGGTCTACTTGTGTCTTGGCCACGGTACCATGGGTACCGCAACAACCTTTTTATCAAGTTAGTCATCACGGCCGTTCAAAACTGAAATCGTTAATATTTGTGATGCAAGTTCGATACCTCTGTTTACTGATGCCTAATGCCTGTCTACCTTATTATAAATGGAGGCTAAGGATCCGTAGGCCGGCGGCGAGTGAGGAGAGCTGATCGTGCTGTCATGCGTGTGCTACGTGTGCACGTATGGCTCTCATGACAATATTGTAGGTGGCTCTGACGGAGCATCTAGGACAGACATTCAGAGCACGAAATCAGCATAAATAGGTCGACGCCGCATTCAGTAAAGGGTAGGAGTGTCCACTTACACAGGCTCTTCCTCTCCTGATAGAGTCTACCTGATACAGTACAGTATACAGTACCCTTGGTAAACTTTACCTAAGGTACCCAAGGGTAGTTCGGGGATTCCGACAACATGAGAGTAGACAGAGTCGCGTACTGCAAGTGGGGCTACCCCTCCCATGATGAGACCTTGATGAGACCGGGGAATCGGTGTCCGTCATCCTTGTTGGTTTCCTGGTCATGGGTTGTCTGGAATACTGTATGATCGCCTGAGTGCTGCTCAGTTCCCCCATAAATGCTATTTAGAGCTTATTTATTTGTAGGTGCATGCTTTTCGGTTTAGTGGCCAAGTACACACTGTGGGGATCACTATGTCGACAAAGGATGGCCTATAGTGCGGTTTACATCGGATATTCGTCCTGCATGACGCTATTTTATCTCAAATTATCGGTAAGTCAATCAGGTTGCACATGGCGATATTGCAATGTTACTCAATCATTGCTGCACCACTGTGGTCCTGCATTCCATTGTCTGACTTCACATAAACCCGAGCTGAAGCACGCGCTGCTCGAAGAAGATAGAAAATGCGGCATATGGTAAGGCAGCACCACTTACGATACATTTATTGGGCGGCTCAGGGCCTCAGGAATCGGAAATTGCATCGCTCAGGTTGTACGGGTACAATACGCCGTTCCGCGAATTTGTTCAGAACGTATACACGAAGCATACAGCACTTGACCAACCACTCCAATTTTACTCTGCACTGCAGTACCTCGTAGAGACCGAAGGAGTCAGGAGATTCTCAGTGAAGTATGGCCTGTTCCGCTTTCCTCTCCCGGTTGACATATAATTGTACTGTATGAGACAAGAAGTACCTCGAAAGTTGATACGCATTGGAGCCTCGACGTCACCCATGTATTCATTGGCACAACAACGATGCTTTCCATTTGTTCGGGTCTGATACATTAATCATATATGCTCCATTGTACCCTGGGGTGCAATACGAACTGCTGGGGCATACTGCCCAATACCATATCATCTGATTTGTGACCATTCCCTTCTTGTACAGTAGGGTACTGTACTGGGTATCCGACTGGATAGCAACTGCTTGAACCTAGATCGGATGCATCTGTACCACGCGCTGTGTACTAAAGAGACATTGCATTCGACGAAAGAGCGACGGAAGAACATACTGTACTGGGCGTGACATGAGGCTTGTAAGAGTGCCGCGACATCATTCTTGCCCTGGACTACAGTTCTGTACTGCAGTACAATAGAGCCGAAGTGCAGATTCAGAACACCGCAGAGCGAAGCGTAAACAGAGTTGCGAAGACGAGAAGGGTTTACTTAGGCACGCAGGTGCCCCTGTGAGCGCGACGTCTAAAAAAGCCGCTATGGTCAAGGGTTAGGAACGGGTGGTAAGGTGCATACGGTATAGTGATGCGAAGTTCCGCATCTCTGAACTGTTAGATGATTCTGATGGGAGCCGGAATCTTGACCTGTATGCCTGCAGTGAATTTACTGTATTCCGAAGACTGAACACAGTACTGTACCCTTTGGCACAGTACAAGTGTACATTGACGAAATTCAGGCATCCAACAGCTAGCACTGTTTCATCCTTTCTGTCTTCATTGGCAATGGGCGATGTCCCGGACTTCAGCATGAGCAGAACTCTGCGTTTCACTCGCTCGCCGAGATCATTTGGAATGTCCTGAGGCGACGCTGACCTGATGAGAATATCGCTCGGTGCAACGACAGTCTAAATTTCAAATGTCCCGAGTTGTATTACGGATTCAGGAATGCGTTATACTGTGTGTACGGATAAATACCTCGAAGCATACGTAAACTAGTCGTGACAAATAGCTTATCAACGTATGATGGTTACAGGGGATGAGCAAACCGTTAAATACTGTACGGTGTAGAAATGGGAGAGGGGACTCGCATGGAACAAAGCGGAATAAGGACCAAAGGTTGAGGGGGGACCCACGTATCGGCCCAGAGAGCGACGTGTTGCAAACGTGGAGCTACGGTACAGTCGACAATATTGTGGCGACAAG